AAAAAAAAAAAAAAAAAAAAGGAGATCTTTCAGCTGTTCTCCATAAAAGAACAACCAAACAAAGACTTGGCAACTGGACTGATTATTTAAAAAATGAAGTATTTAAAATTTGAATTTTAAATTTAAATTTTAAATTCCACTTTAAAATAAACCCATACAATATTCCATAAGTGACACAACATTTGGAGTCCCTGTGCTGTTTCTATTTAATGTCAGTTCTGGGGCAATTTGCTCTCCAAACTGGAGTCTGAGATGTAGTTATCTGCTGAGCAATGAGGATTTTAGTGTTTCACCTGTAGGTGGCAAGAAGCTGGCATATCTCTTTTCCTGACAGTGCTGATTTCCTTTGGAAAGCTGTTTTTTGGGGGGTTTGGGTTTTTTTGGTAATGTATAATCTGCTATTCACTTCACTGTCAAACCAGCTGGCATTTATATAGTATACTTGTGATTACAAGTTTTAAAATTTTCTGTAAGTATTCTGAGTACCATTCTGTGGGCTGAGATAGATAGAAATTTTTCAATTAAGCATTTCCAGAGCTGGTTTCTAAATATTGGATTATATAGTCTGGGCTCTGGGCATTGGTCATAAATGAAGCCTTAAGTAGAGGCCTGAAAAATTTAGAATGTTTTACTTCGGATGATTTCCTCTGGATTGCACTTTTTCTATGGTCATCCTATCCACTAGTTCTATATGTTGCATAACCTAGACTGATCTGACTCTGCAAATACTTCTGTTTACATACTGAGAAGTCAACTGTCTGCAATATAAACATTTTTACCAAGAACAGAAACTGAAATTCAGCCAGAAAGTCTATGGGGAAAATTGTCATCCCATTACAGATCTCTGTCTACAGCATGTGCGGACTTGGTGGTGATATAATAATATCTGTCTGCACAGCCTCTTTCCTCCCCTTACAGAGAGAGTTGCTAATAGTAAGTTTTATTTCAAATAGTAGTTTTAGCCCCCATGGTATCCCCTTGGATGGCAGGGACACTCTCTCAGCTGTTATACACATGGTTGTCAGGTTATACGTGCCTTGTCAGTTCTCTAGGCAAGACCTTGTTTCTCCAGTGCTCTGCTGGGGTGGACACCTGCTTGTCTCATCCCCACTCACCATCTGTGAAAGAGGTCTTTGCTAGTAACTGGCTCTCAAACTGTGTGACACCACTGCACAGAATTAAAAGCAGTAGAGTAACATGCTGAAACATCCAGCAGCATTTTGCCACAGCTTTTCTGGAGCTTGTTTTTAAGATCTTAAGTGTTTGGACAGAGCATTAGCTCAACAAAATCCCAGTGCTGTCTAAACATTGCCATTTTGAACCTTAATTTTCTTTCAGTATGACAGGATTTTCAACTCTTTCTTTCTTTCTTTTGTTGTTGTTGTTGTTGTTTGTTTGTTTGTTTTGTGCTGGTGGCATTATATTTTGATAAAAAAAGTCAGTGAAATAGCCCATTAGGCTATTACAGAATTATTTTGAAGATATGTTCTATGAGTCTTCCATTATGCCTCAGTTTGTTTTAAAATCTATGGTTGATTGCTTCTGAGTTTTCTTTGGGAACCCTTTTCTTATTTTGTTTATAAGGAAGGAAGGCTTTCCCAAGCATCACTTGTTTACTCCAGAAACACATTAGATGTGAAACTGAAGTGGTGTACAATACTGAAATATTCATAGTCAGCCTCAGGCTGTTGAATGAGGCAATTTAAACAATCAATACTACAACTTTATGCTTCTGCATTTTCACTTCTTTGGCATTTGCTTTCATGCTCTGCTGTAAGTGATCCTGCTGGGTCATCCTATTATGGAAGAAATTATAGGGTTGCATCCAATTAAAAGCTTAGGCGGCACATCAAACTTTTAAGTACTCGCCTTTGCAGAGGAACCCAGAGTCCTGGGGTAGACATTTAGGCTTTA